GCAGCATCTGTGAAGGAGAAAACAGAGTTAACGTTTCGGGTCCGTGAACACTTCCTCAACTAACTCAGGTTCGGTGACCCTTCCTCAGATCTCAGTTCTGATGAAGGGTCACCGGACCCGAAACGTTAATTCTGTTTTCTCCTTCACAGATGCTGCCAGACCTGCTGAGCTTTTCCGGCAACTTTGTTTTTGAACTCACTCAAGTGGCTCAGTTCAGGTACCTTCAGTAAAGGTCAATCTGAAAGGGCTACTTACATTGACAAAAAAAGGAACAATGAGCATCACAATCGCCAGCTCCAACTGTGGGTTCTGGATTGGATTGAGTAAAGCTACCTGTGAAGAAAATCAGAAAAGCAATGCACAAATGACGAAAGGTTATTTTACTAAGCAGGTTTAATCCCATAATCCCTTCCCATGGACCACATCACAACCACCCCACCTATAATTCCCTTGCATACCAGAAAGATAATTGAATGCAATTGAAAAAATTGGCATACCCACCACAGAAAAACAGAAGTATTACAGCACTGGAGACGACCATCTAGCCTACTGTGCCTGTATTGGTGCGTAAAATGTGCATCATAACCTAATGCCAATCTCCTGCTTCTTTTCCCCCTCTACCCTTGTATATAATTTTTATCCAAATAATTACCAAATGCTTCTTGAATACTGCATTTGAACCTGCCTCCACCGCATTTCCAGGCAATGCATTCCATACTCAAACTACTTGCGTAGTGAAAAGGTTTCTCCTCACTTCACCTCTGTTTCTTTTGGAGATCACTTCAAATTTGCACCTACTTTTATGATTGGGAACAATTTCTCCCGGTAAACTCTATCCAGCCTCCTCATGATTTCGAAAAACTTTATCAGGTTTCCTCTAGCTTTTCTCTTTCCAAGGAGAACAGTCTCAACTTCTTCAATCTGTCCTCATAATTGAAGTTCCTCATACTTAGAACCACTGTTATAAAACACTTCTGTACTCACTCCAATGCATTCACATCCTTGGCAGGTATAACTGTACACAATATTCCAGGTGGGTCAACAAGTGTCTTATACAAGTTCAGCATCACCTCCTTGCTTTTGTACTCTATGCTCCTATAATAAAACCAAGAACACTGTATCCTTTATTAAAGCTCTCTTCACCTGTCCTGCCACTTTCAATAATCTATGCACAGATACACCCAGGTCCCTGTGCTTTCGTACCCACTGCTAGGAATTATATACCCTATTTTGTATTGACTTTCAATGTGAATTTTACCAAAATACATCTACTCACACGTCTCTGCATTGAAACTCATCCGCCAGTGATCTGGCCACTCCAAGGAACAGGTGCAGGCCATTCAGTCTCTTGAGTCTGTTCTGCCATTCAATGAGATTGTGGCTGCTCTGTGGCCTAACTCCATACATCTGCCTTTGGCCCATATCCCTTATACTTTTGCTCAATAAAAGCTTCTCTCCTTCAAATTTAAAATTAACAACTGATGTAGCATCAACGGCCATCTGTGGAAATAATTTATCTTTACCTATCCTGTCTTTTCCTGTTTATATGCTGAAGACTTAGTTCAGATGACCCTCAACCGTCTAAATTCTAGAGAAAACAGGCCTAATTTGTGTAATCTCTCCTCATAACTTAACCCTGAAGTTCAGGTATCATTTTCGTAAACTAACATTGTACACCATCCAGGGCCAAAAATCCCTCCTAAGAATGTGGTGGCCCATATCTGTCCACGGTATTCCAAGTGGGGTCTAACTCCAACCATAACTTCACCAACCTGTCTCTATCCTGTTGTACACTGTCCTCCTCACAATTTACAACTTTCCAAGTTGAGTCCCCTACAAATTTTAAAATTGTTTGCTGCACACCAAACTCAAGATCATTAAGATGTATCAGCACGGTGGCTCAGTGGTTAGCACTGCTGCCTCACAGCGCTAGGGACCCAGGTTAGATTCCAGCCTCAGACAACTGCCTGTGTGGAGTTTGCACATTCTCCCTGTGTCTGTGTGGGTTTCCTCTGGATTCTTAGTTTCCTTCCACAGTCCAAAGATGTGCAAATTAGATGGATTGGCCATTCTAAATTGCCCATAGTTTCTAGGGTTGTGCAGGTTAGGTGGGTTAGCCACGGGGAATGCACGATTACAGGGATAGGGCAGAGAGGTGGGTCTGGGTGGGATGCTCTTCGGAGGGTTGGTGTGACTTGATGGGCCAAATTGCCTGCTTCCACGCTGTAGGGGATTCTATGATATCAAGAAAACCAAAGGTCCCAGTGGCTGCAGAACGTTCTCAAGGCGGGGGAGTGAGCAGCCAGAAGTCATTGTGCACATTGAAACAAATGAAATAGGTAGAAATAGGGATGAGATTTGTGGATTGATTATAGAGAGCTAGGAAAAGAGTTAAAAACTAGGACCTTGACATGGTAATCGACTTCCAGTGCCACATACTAGTGACGGTAAGAACAGGAGGCCATGACAGACGAATGAGTGGCTAAAGAATTGGTGCAGGGAGCAGGGATTCAGATTCTTTGATCATTGGGATCTTTTCTGGGGCAGAGGTGACCTGTTCAAGAGGGACAGGTTGCACCTGAACTGGAGGGGGCCAATATCATGGCGGGCAGATTTGCTAGTGCTACAAGGGAGGGTTTAACTTAGATTGGCAGGTGGATGGGATCCTCAACAGCTGGGAGGCAAATGTGAAGCTGGAAGGAGATACAGTAATCAGAAATAGCAAGTTGAAGAGACAGGTCGGAACATGACAGGGAGCGAGGAATGCCTATTGGATTAAATTGCATCTATTTCAATGCAAGAGGGCTGATAAGTAAGGCTGGGTGTGGACAGGTACATTCGGCTGGGATATTACATGGCTAAGAGAGGGACAGGACTGATAGCTTAATGTGCCAGGCTGTAGGTGCTTTAGGTGGGACAGAGATGGGGGTAAGAGGGGAGGGGGAGTTGTATTTTTGATTAAGGGGAATATCACAGCAGTATTCAGAGATTAAACAACTGAGGCATCATCCAGTGAGGCTTTGTGGGTGGAGATAAGAAATAAGAAGGGGATGGTGACGTTATTGGGTTGTACTATAGGCCCCCAAATAGTCAATGGGAATTAGAGGAACAAATATGCAGAGGCAATAGAGTCGTCATAGTGGATGATTTTAATTTTCCTAACATTGACTGGGACTGCCATAGTGGAATTTGTTAAATGTGTTCAGGAAAATTTCCTCAAACTGTATATAGAGGGTCCTACTTGGGAAGGGACAAAACTCAACCTACTCTTGGGAAATAGGGCAGGCCTAGCGACTGAAGTGACAGTGGGAGAGCACTTTGGGATCAGTGACCATAGTTCTATTAATTTTAAAAAAGTTATGGAGAAGGACAAAACTGGTCCACAGGTTCAATTCTAAACTGGGACAAGGTGAATTTTGATGGAATTAGACAGGAGCTTGCAGGGGTTGACTGGAGTAGTTTGTTTGCAGGCAAAGGGTCCTCTGGCAAGTGGGAGTCCTTTAGAAATGTGATAGCTAGAGTTCAAGATCTATACTTTCCTGTGAGGGTGAAGGGTAAAGTTGGCCTGCATAGAGAACCTGGATGACAACAGATATTGAGGCTTTGATCAGAAAAAAGGAGGCATGTATCAAGTACAGGCAGCTGGGATCATGGAAATCCTTGGAAGTATATAGGGGATACAGAAGTTTACTGAAGAAGGAAATCAGGAGGGTGAAAAGGGGGCACGAGATAGGTTTGACTGAGAAGATTAGAGGGAACCCAAAGAGATTCTTTAAGTATATTGAAGGAAAAAGAATAACTAGAGAGAGAATAGGACCCCTCAAAAGTGGACATGTATGTGTGGAACTGCAGGAGATGGGCAAGGTCCTCAATGAATATTTCTCCTTTGCGTTTACTGTGGAGAAACACATGAACACTTGGGAAATTAGTGGTGATAACTTGGGGACAGTCCATATCACAGTAGAGGAGGTGTTGGTCGTATTAGAATGTATGAAGGTGGATAAATCTCCCGATCCTAACCAGATATATCCAAGAACACTGCAAGAGGCAAGAGACAAAATTGCGGGGACCCTGACTGATATATTTGCATCATCGTTAGCCATGGGTGAGGTCCTGGAAGACTGGAGGGTAACAAATATTGTGCCCTTATTTAAGAAGGACTGCAAAGAAAACCCTGGAAACCATAGAACAGTAAGCTTAACATCTGTGGTAGGTAAGTTACTTGAGAAGATTCTGAGGGATATGATATACATGCATTTGGAAAGACAGGGTTTGATTAGGAGTAGTCAGCTTGGCTTCATGCGTGGGAGATCATACCTCACAAATTGGTTAGAGTTCTTTGATGAAGTCATCTGGAAGGTTGATGAGGGCAAGGCAGCAAAAGTCTGTATGGATTTCAGTAAGCCTTTGATAAGGTTCCACACAGTAGGCTGCTCTGGAAGGTTAGATCACATGGAATCCAGGGAGAGTTGGCAAATTAGATTAATGGTAGCAATTGGCTTAATGGTAGGAAGCAGAGGGTAATAATGGAAGGATGCTTGTCAGACTGGAGGTCTGTGACTAGTGGTGTGCCTCAGGGTTTGGTGCTGGGCCCATTGCTGTTTGTTATCTATATCAATGATTTGGATGAGAATGTACAAGGCATGATTAGTAAGTTTGCAGATAACACTAAAATAGGCGGTATCATGGACAGTGAGGAAGGTTATCAGAAATTGCAGCACGATCTTGGTCAGTTGGGGAAGTGGGCCGACAAATGGCAAATGGAGTTTAATGTAGATAAGTGTGAGGTGTTGCATTTTGGAAAGTCAAATCAAGGTAGGGGTTTTGTGGTGAATGGTGGGGCCTTAAAGTGTGTAGTGAAACAGAGGAATTTGGAGTTTAGGTGCATGGTTCTCTGAAAGTGGAGTCATGGATAGAGAGGGCAGTGAAGAAGGCTGTTGGCCTTTATCAGTCAGGGCACTGAGTACAGAAGTTGGGAAGTTATGTTGCAGTTGTACAGGACTTTGGTGAGGCCACACTTGGAATATTGTGTTCAGTTTTGGTCACCTTGCTATAGGAAGGATGTTATTAAACTGGAAAGAGTGCAGAAGAAATTTACGAGGATGTTGCCAGGACTCAAAAGACTGAGTTATAGGAGGAGGGTTGACCATCTAGGACATTTTTCTGTAGAGCGTAGGAGAATGAGGGAGGATCTTATAGAAGTGTATAAGATCATGAGAGGCATGGGTAGGATGAATGCACTCAGTCTTTTTCCAAGGGATGGGGAATCGAGGTCTAGAGGGCATCAGTTTAAGAGGGGAAAGAATAAATGGGAGCCTGAGGGACAACTTTTT